TCAGTGGTATATTGACCATGCTCTCRTTGTTTTTGCTTTTTTCAAATGATAAAATTACCAATTTAAACAATAATTTGGCTTAAAATGTAAAACAAATCAAGTTTTGAGTTTATTTTTGTTGAACCATGTCTTTGGAGAACATCATCAATCTGAAGTTTTGTAGTTGTAGTGCTGCACTTGTGTTGTCTTTGGTTATTTCTGTGAAGGTGACTCTGTATCCGTGTTTGTTAAAAAACAAAAGGGGATGGTGKTGTTGTTTTTTTCATTTAATAACTCAGCCTTTTTGATCAGGCTGTGCAGACGTAACCCATAAGTGCTGCCGGCCCCTCKGAGCAGGTACGGGGATATTTGGCTCTGTTCGCGTTGCAGAAGCTGTCAGTAATCAGTTTTGGCTTCTTCCCCTCTAATGGCATCCAGCCTGGAGTATGAGGTAGCCAGCATCCATAAATCAACACAGATGCTGCGAGAAACAGCTGGTGAGTGCAGACATTTTTAATAAGAAATATTCATGTTAATTGGATTCAGTTCACTTTTTTCATCACTTAACCACCACCTCAGCTAATAAAACATAGAAATTAGTACACCTGGTTGGATCTACAAACAAGGTATCTAAAAAGGGCATATAAAATGCTGTTTGGAGGTTTATGTTTGTAACTTTTTCAGATCGCCTTTAGCTTCAAGGATATGTTGGTCAAAGGGGAATTTAAAAGAAATGTAACCTTTCTTTTCTTCCGCTGTGTGCTCCACTGCCTCCTCCTCTTGCCACAAATGAAACTGAAGCATCAAAAACTCGCCTCCAGCGTTCATCCATCTCAAATTTCTCTGGAACATTTTTTTTTCCACTTCATGACTGACAGGAGCGGTACTGATGATGGTAAGGATAGCCTACAGTTACATAACATCCTGCTTGGATGTCCGTGATTGACTGCAGCGTCCGGAGACTGTGGGACAGACTATATGTGGCAACAAAAGAAAAAGAATACATCTTGAAAAATGTGCTCAGCTAGCAGGCGTAGTTGATATTTACTGTGTTCAAAAGGATAATTCTGATATTTAGAAAGGGGGGTTGGCTGAAAGGTTGAACAAAGTACTTAGTTTCTGTACTTGAGTCAAAGTACTGATCCTACTGGTCAAATATTAACCCAGTAAAAATAAAAGTAGCTCTCTCAAATTATTACTTAAGTTAAAGTACTGGAGTATGTGCAGAGTTGTAAAGTAACTACGTACAATTACTTTGTTACTGTACTTATGTAGTATTTTGGGGTATCTGTACTTTACTTGAGTAATTATTTTTCTGCCTACTTTTTTACTTCTACTTCTTACATTTTCACACAGTTATCTGTACTTTCTACTCCTTTCATTTTCTTTTTTTTAACCACTTCAGTAGAAAGCAGAACTGAATATTAGTATCTTAGCTTCTTCATCATCAGTGACTTTTTTTAAGGAGAAAAAGAAAGAGATGGAAAAAGTGAAATGTAATGAGAAAGAGTGAAAGAGAGATTAGAAGATGTGTAAAATAAATATCGAGAAAACACAAGACAGCACACCCGACATCTTGTCTCCACACCTACAAAAACGAAAACGAAAAAATACTCCTTTTTTTAAAGGCAAGAAGTAAAAGGTTGTTACTTTTATTTCATTTTTTCTTGTTTTCATTCCAGCTTGTTATTGTAAAAAATAAATACTRTCCATATAAATTGTGCCTCTTAGAGTGAATTTAATCGTGGTTGAATGAGAAGTGTAAATATATAAAGTTCTGATACCGTATTAGTTTGTACACAAACAAATCATGTCACACTCCATAATCATTAAAATAAAGGACTGTACTTAAGAGGTATTTGTATTCCATGAATTATATTATTGCATTTGGCCTCAGATAGATTTTCATTTTGGGAATAAGGTTTGTGCAGCCTCGATATGTGTATATAAACTGAAACAGCTAGACTAGTGCATCTTAAATTTAACATGAATTAATTATTTTTAAGACAATGTAGTCATTTCTACATTTTTTGGGAGGTCACCTCCTAATAAATGTCATTACAGAAAATCTAACTGCTCATTTTATTGCAATACTTTTACTTTTAATACTTAAGTACAAAAAATATCAGATGCTTTAAGACTTTTACTCAAGTAATATTTCTAAAGGAGATTTTAACTTTTACCAAAGCATTTTTTGTAAGATACTTGTACTTTTACTCAAGTATCACTTTGTGGTACTTTATACAACACTGAGTATGTGCTTTCAAAAGTACTTACTGAAAGTACTTAAAATGTTGCAGTTTTTTAACAACGCCTCTCACTTGATTGTGGTTTAGAATAACTGTAAAAATAATCTGCTCTATTGGACAGATTTGTAAGTCCAAATAATAAAACATTAGTCTTATATAGTACTTTACTGGATGCTCAAAGACTTTTTACAATCCATGCATTATTCCTTCACTCCTCAGTGACATTCAGTGGTTGAAGTTTGGCTGCATTTCTGCACATACTGTATATGGTCCCTCCAAACCACTACAATCGTATTTATACACAAGTAGGTTGAGTTAAGTGTTTTGCCCAAGGACCCAAAAACAGTTTACGCTCGAGCAGGGATGTGAACTCATGACGTGCTGGTTGCAGGGTGAACATCTCCCCTTGTGCCTCTGAAAATTTTTATCTTCCTAATTGTACGCCTTTTACAAGAACTGTCAGCTCATTTAGTCTCTACATAGTCACCACTTCAAGGACAAGACTTGTAACATTTTAGATTGAGCCGAGTATTAAGTGACTAATTAAGGAGCTCTGAATCTAATCTTTGGGGAAAAATTTTCACACTGAGCTTTTTAGTTATTTGAACTAGTTTTCTGAATATTAAAAACTTGTTACAATAAACTAGAAACACTTTTGTACAAAAGTATTTAACAAAATTTATTTGGTAGAAATCCATTAATCAAACAAAGGGATTGAAAGTCTAAAATGCTCTAGCTTAGGTCTTAAATGAGATGAATCCATGTTAAAAACAGGACTAACCAGGATTTAAACAAAGACCTGCAACAGTGCTGAAAAATACCTGTAGCTGTGTACCTACAAGGCAACATAGTACAAAAAGACAAAAAGATAAGAGAAAAGAGAAACTTTTTATTGACAAATTAATTAAAATATGTCAACAATAGAAGACTTTTTAGCCTTAAATGTTAGAGCCAGAGGAGAATGAAGTTGAGGAGTAGTTGGTAAGCCCAGACCTTATTTGGCAGTTATAATAATACTTCAGAAAACGTCATAGAAAATAGAGAAAACTGAAAAATAAAACCCAAATAGAATATAAAGATATGTTTGAGAGACTAGGCACAACAAAATGCAAACTACTAAAAAACTAAAAAGTAAAAAGTTTCCAATATGTCACTCAAGTAAAGTACAAACTCTCAAAAACTGTACCCAAGTAGAGTACTCAAGTAAATTTACTTTGTTTCTGCACATCTCTGCATCTTACCTTTTGCAGAACACAGACACACAAGAAAGGCAAAAATGCTCTCGCTCCACCTTTGCCTTTGGTGACAGACAATAACTTTATTTTATGTAAAGTTGAAAAAAAGTAATTAATGCAATGGGGTTTATTTGTATTTTCACCTGAAGCCATAAAGATTTGTATTTTATGTTTGGTGATTATAAAACAATCCCTAAATAAAGACTAGTTTGATGCTGCTGTAAAAAAGGTATCAACCAAATTATCACCTGCTGACACAGCTTTAGCTCTGACTCAAGCGAATAATGCACACAGTAACAAGTTTCCCAAGGCTGAGAGCTGGCGTATGTGATTATTTCAGCGTTGTCTATTAAAATGAAATCACTTTTCCATTTTTCTTCTCTGTGTTAATGTGTCTTTCTTCATTTTCTGCTTGACCAAGCCCGGTAATCATCGCATCTCATCACGGCGCTGCCCTCTCTCCCCTTCTGCTGTGGCTCACCAACACGGGCAAAGCCAAATTAAACAAAGACTCRTCACAATAAAGCCCCGCAAAAACATCATGCTTTTGAGCTTGAGATTATTATTGCTCCATCCTTTTCTTTCTTTTTTTTTTTTTTGCAACACAGTTTAAATCACATGTGGTGGATTATGACAGCTAWCCCTCTGTACTGTCTCTGCTGCAGCTGGTATCTGGTTCTGAGAGTGACGGCTCCACAAGAAAAAAAAAGAAAGAAAAACAGAGAAATCCCAGCCACATGGTCAAGTTAACTGATTCATAGAAGATGTCATAACAGTGTAATTAAATCTAGATTGAATCATGTCCACTATGATGGCACCGCTCATGCAAATTTCAGTTCATGCAATTTTAAAGCATCAGTGTCAGATGTGGATCGAGCTGTCTGTTCTAATACAGGAAGCTGAATGAGCAGCTCTGCTCTGCTGAAAATGAAAAAAAAGGAAATGAAACGAACTGAAAGTCTTTCAGAYTGATTCGGGCTGAATATCTTACATTAACATAAAATAGCGGTGAGAGAAAATCAACAGATCTTTCTTGCCTATTGAGGCTCTGTGTGTTAGACTGAATGGAGCCCACATGGTGGAGGATCATCATTGGAGCTGAAGAGAGTGGCTCCACACTTGACTGAGCAGATTAAGAGAGTGACAGAGACCTATGACTGGCTAATTCAATGGGGGCACTCTCTGTAGAAAACACTTCATTCTCAACAATGTCGCTCGGCTCTCCTGTGCAATGTATCCCACCATGAAGCATTATGCAGCCACAGTGGAGCACCCCCACCTTTCATTCAGCTTTGAAGCAAAAGCAGCGCTGAAAGGGCCAAGCAGTCATAAATGTTATATACACCATGAAAAAAAAAGAGGATCAAAACACACCTCTTGTTACTCGTTAGGTTTTTACCTTTCAGCTTTGATTATCCGAGCGTTTTAAACAGAAACGCCCCACTTCTTTTTGGCATATCCACATCACAGACAGCTAATGAATCATACATACATCTGAATTTCTGAGTGTTCCTTCATTTGGTTTTCTTTTTTAAAGGGGATCACTGGCATCCGGTTTGCCGAACATCAGAGGTGTTACATCAGGACCCAAACGAAGAAGCTACCCGTCGTGCCAGAGGTGGAGAMGGAGGACAGAGAGTTGCCGGTACAGTACGCCTCCACACTCTGGCTCTCTGTAGTCCTGCAGAGGCTGTCATGCATATTGTCGAGAGATAACCAGAGCACAGCTCTTTGAGCACCACACAAATACTCAGCCTGTCCATCTCGTCCTATCTCCCCACCCCTCCGCACTGAAGGCTTGTGGCGCCTGTGAAACTGCTAGAAAGCTAACAACAAACCCGTGGCCTCTTTGTGGCTCACATCAAATGGTGCTTGCTGTCAATCTTGAGCCAGTATTAATTTTTAATCATCTCYTCCAAAGGCTCTACCCAAATAGCCTAAAGGGGGAAGGGTGCGARAGCGAGGTCTGCGAGAGGTAAACCATTAAAATGGTATTTTTAAGTGATGCTGTCTTTGTAAAATTCACAAGGCTCCCTCTCCAAGTTTTTAGGGTGATTCCTTTTAGTTATCTGGCTCCTTAAAGTTCAGCGCAAACTTCAGAACAAGAAATGGAAGAAATTCAGTCAATCAAAATTCCCATTTTTCAGTGTCACAGTGAATTTCACTGAGTGGGCCACATGTTCAAAGAGAAAATCCTTTCCTCAAATGTCTCAACTCCTGGCATGCTCTCATTTACATTTCAGATTTGAGCTGAGAAGAAATGGCTGGCAAATATCTGGTGCGCCCACTCACTTCTTCACTTTAAAAACAGAGTCAGCCAATTGTCAGTCCAGCCTTAGTTTTTTACTGTAAGAACACAAGCTGTTACACCTAAAATACCAAACACTGTTTGCTTTCCTTTTTTTTTAAGATACTCCTCTCATCTTCATAACGTCTGATCCACGTTTACAGATACTAATTGCTCAGGCAGCACCATATGTCCGCACCATCCCTGTCTTTTTTTATGCACAGTGAAACCTAATTGGCTCAATTCGTAGCTCGGAAGTGAATCATGTAAGGCCAGCAAAGTGACTTGGGCTCATATCAGTAGTGATGAAGCTTCTTATATTTAATAGAAGAACGATTCAAAAAGACGTTTTAAAGTTGTAAATAATTTCTTTGGGCTTTTGCAACCTCAGAAAATAATAATAATGATAATAATGATGGCTAAGTGAGCTGCCAAGGTATGCAGTGATCGCCGGGAAATAAAACAGCAACATTATCTTTTTAGATGCTCTTATTAATTTAATTATAGACTAATTTGTTAATATTACTAAAACCAAACATCTAAACAAAGCTCTCTGTTTTATCTAAAGCAAAGAGCTATCTGAATGCCAACAATTCATTCACCTTTCCACAAAAGAGAAAAACATTCAGGTTTTACAAATGAAAAAGCAATGTTTACTCCTAAATATACAACAACAGTCTGTAGGACTGTCCTACAGGCATGGAACAGACAACAGGCACAGGAACTGACAAACGGCCCAAATCTTAAGTTTGTGAAAGCTTTAATCTCCCTGACAAGGAAAACTTTAAGTACACTGGTTGGAGTCCTAATCTGCTCAACTGCCAAAAAGAATGGTGATGGGACTTCRTTACTACAGTCTGTGAGATGCCTGTGGCATCAGACCTCTTTGCGTTACTTAGACCACTGCCTGGCTCTGAACAGTCAAAGGAAAATAATTCTTSAAGACCCCTTTATGGATCATGAGAAGCTCAGAACACCGAGTGTTTCTAACCTGCCATCCATCCCCACTCACCATAATCATAAAAATTCAGATTACAAATTAAGAACTGGAAATATTTTAATCCAGCATAACACAAATAATTTTCACTGTTTGCCCTTTAGAACTAATGTAGTGACTTCTCTATTGTTGCAACAGCGAGCCCCTGACAAATGCTCACAAATTCTACAGTTTTTCTTAGACACATTTTTCATCACAGTAAAAGTATATAAGATTTAAATCATAAAGTATTATCAGACAATACAGTATATCATACATACGTATATGACATTACATTACAATATCAGCATATTGTCTGAGAATAAAAACACTTATTAACATAGTAACTGCTCAATCTTGCTCAAGTGAATTGGTAAAAATTAAGAAGTTTAGAGGGTGAGAACAACTCAAATAAGGACTGTGAGCATCTCTGAGGTGTCACAAATCTCATAACTTTAGTGTTTTAAAAATAAAAAGAATTGTGGGCTTTTGTCTTTTGTTTTTCATTAAAACTGTGAGCTTTTGTCTTGTGAGCATTTGTACACTTGCCACAGCTGGTGGTGGTGCATGGACTCAGTTTAATAATAACAATCCCATTTATAAAATGCAGCATTCAAATGACTAAACAAATGTGGATAAATTTGCTGATTGTGTTTGGGTGAACTTGTCCTCAGTCCATCCAGAYAGCATTCACAGTTGTATTTAGTGCCATCAAAGTGCAATGCTGCTGGCTCAAGAWGCATGTTTGTGCCTAAATTAATTAACAGTGACATTTTGTACAAAAAAAAAACACAGTTTTGTCCCAGTTTTTCTGTTGGTTACCTGACAACCTCATGGTGACAACAGCAGAAGTCCAGGATGTTGTTTTTATGTAAATATATGTGACGAGTTCTGAAACTAAAACAAACTTGTTCCTGTCTTGTGTTACATTCTGTTCCTGGTATGTAATCAGTGAATTCTAAACAAACATGTGTTCTCACTTTATGTTCATCTCTTTATCTCTTGTCTCTTGTGACTGGAGTTTTGTATTGACGGCCAAATTTGCTGCAATGACTTCGAAACACAAACATGAGGTTGTGCAGCAGAGATCATCGCATTGAGAAAAGGGCATATTATAGGTGATAAATGGCGACCTGAGTCTGGCCTCACACAAACAGCGGCCCCTGATGTCTCCTCTGTGAGCATCCACCCACAGAAATCAACACAAGTCTCTCCTCAAACGGTGAAAACACGAAGCTCACAGGGGTTAAAACCAAACAGTAATAGTTCGCAGCCTAACCCCATCACAGGCTTTTAGGAATAGGAAAAAGGGGCTGAAGGCAGCAGTAGCAGGCTTTAGAGCTGAGGTGGAAAACAAAAGAAAGAACTGTGGGAAAAACTGCAAGCGGCTGATAACAGAAATCAGCCTGTGCAGAGCGGGGAACCAGGTGACAAACGTGAATTGTTTGCCAGTTTTGTTTTKGGGKKTTTTTTTTCCTTCCCTTTTTAATTTTCATTCTCAATGAAATGTCTGAGGGAGTAATCCCTGCAGCTCGACTCCGGCTCTCCCAGTCTGACACCGAAATCACCGTCCGCCTCCCTCACACTCTCCTAACAGTGTCAGTGGATGCTGTTTGCTCCATTAAACAGCCCTTTAATATGGAAGCCCAATGCTCACCCAGCAACCCCAAACCTCCCACTCAGTCAAGAACCGCAAACAGAAAGGAAAAAAAAAAAAAACAACAACAGCGTGCTAAGAAACAACAACACTGCAGAGGAGGTGAATACATCAAAGTCCTGCAGTGCACAGTTTGCTTTGTCTCACATTCATTTGCATGAGCTCAGGAAATGGTCAAGTGGCCAGTGATACCGAAACAATACTGTTTACCTTGTGAGCTGCTATTTTAGGCAACAAGGTTTGGGTTTAGTAGAAAATATAACAGGAAAACACTGTTTTTATTGTTTGTAGCACAATAACAATCAATGCAACTAAACCAGAAACCTCCTGATACTCTGACACAAAAACTGTCGAGACCATCTCTACTATGGTTTTAGAACAGGCAGATTTGAAACATAAAATAAAATTTAAAAAAAGAACAGGCAGATTTGAAACATAAAATAAAATTTAAAAAAAGAACAGGCAGATTTGATTTGATTTTTTTGTAGTAATCCTGCATGTATGTATATATACACATAGTATTATTCTTTCCATTGTAGTCCAGTATAAAAAACAGAATGCTGAAAAAAATCATCAGAGATAAAAACTCTAAAGAACTCTAAGGAAAAGCACAGAGCACAAAGAGAGTACRAATAAATATTTAAAAAATCAGATGRTAATTTGGTGTAACATATGATRTAATGAGCAATAAATAAGGAACAGTAAATAAAATAAGCAAGAAGGAAAATTTGGTCTCCTGTAGTTTAGGACACAATAAAGGAATTCAGCTCTTCATCTCAAAGACCTCTGAGTAGAAAACGAATGACATTAAATTCAAAAGTGTTATTTTTTACAATGAATTGATTATCCTAAAGTTGGAAGAGTACCAATAACGTTGTTGAAAAGACCAAGTGTATTGTTTTATTTTTCTGCCAGCTCTCGATTTATCTGTCAAGGTTATACAACTACCACAAAAATAAATGTCTAAACTTTAGTTATTCAGGACATTTATTTCCTTAAAATTTTAAAATACAGCAGAGATCTGCTTTGAAAGCCCAGAAAATCAGATTATATTTAAAAAAATCTAGACAGTATGTTTGAGAGAAAAAACATTGCAGAGTTCTCTGAGTGCAAACAGCTTGAAAGATTACATTCAAGTTTTTTATTGTGTGCTAGTAAAATATTTGAAATTTTAAAAARYTCGTGAATTGTACAAACAGYTTTAAAGTATTAATCTTCCCTTCGTTCTTCTTACCCAAATATCTTCACTTTTGGCAACGAAAATATCAACTTTTTTTTTACTGGCAGATGAAACTGTAATACAATACGTCATTTCATTTTGATATTTAACAGGAACATTGAACCCTGAATTCTGTGTGCTGAYAAAAAGATGGCTCATGAGATACAGTTTTAAAAAATAGTGAGTCCTTCTACAAGAATTTCATGTTTTTGAAATAAGGAATTTCAAGTTTGAGTCCAATAAGAGTATTTTTCATTTTCTCTTGCCAATCTTGACTAAATGCAGACATCAGTTTGACATCTTTAACTAAGTTTAGATGGCTACAAAACTTTGACTTTATTTCAGTTTAGGCCTAGATGTCTACAAATAATTAAGACGTTGTTCTCTTTTCAACCTAAAAAATGTAATTAGTGTGATGGCAAAGGACAAATGTTAAACTCAACTGTTGGAAACAAATCAATTGTGGATTTTAAATCATTACAGTCTATTTCCAGAAAACTAAGCTTGGCACAAAAAGTAAGTATAAATGTGTTTGGTAGATTATTTCTTTGTCGTAACAATGGGTTTTGACAATAAATCTTTTAATGCTGGAAAGTCTGTTAATTCCCATTTTAAATGGTGCCACATTTGTAAGGAACGTGCTTTTGTGGGATGAGCAGTAGAGCTGGGTGGGTTGCACACATGAAAAAATAGGCAAATTTTCTCTGACAAACAGCTTATTTTGTTGTTGCTATTGACACCTGTTTGGAGATTCTGGTACCCCCAGGTGCTGCCAGTCAGGTGATTTATTGCCAGGAAACATTGTTATAACAGAGGATGGTCTAGTAAAAGCATTTTGTCAAACACATTTAATACTTTGTGTTCTGGTTTCTGTATTCTCAAAGCTTCAAAACTTTTGCATTTCTTTATTAAATATTTTTATTGTGTTGGTGACAGAAAATTCTTTTAACTTGAGAAAAGCTGTAAGGCTGTACAGATTCATTGTGCCTAAATGGAACAAATCTGTTCAACCTAAGAAGACAAATTATAACTGCTGATGTGTGCACTCACTGCAATCTGCTGTAAGAAGTTTGTCAAGTAAAATCCACCAACTAGTCAAATACGTAAAACTTGTGCAGGATTTGACATGTGAAATCTCTTGGGTTTTGTGAGAAAATCTTTGTTGATCTCTGGCAAACACTGCACCGCTTTGAACAATGCATCATGTCGACAGTAGTTCCCCCCTTGGGACAAAGTGGCAGGAGAGGGTAAATTTGTTAACTACAGCACAACTAGTGTATAATTAAGTTGTGCACTGTAGGCAAAAAGCATATATACTCCAGGAGTAGGCTGAAGAAAACAAATTACCATCATTTCAAGGCTCCAATACGTGATAAAAAATTGCTTGTGTCCTAATAATATATCATTTGTCAATAGCAAAACAGAAAAGCCTTTCAGACGTGTGTACAAACTGGCAGTCTGTAATCATGTTGTCTTTGTGGTTGTCAACTGGCATTTAGAAATCCATGCCCCATGCTAAAATACTGACCTTTCACACTTCCCCCCCAGGCGCTCTTTCCTTCAAGTTATTGGAGTCGTTTCTCAACTGTGAAGTCAAAGTCATGTTGTGAGCCCCGTGTCCTGACCTCCATTTACTTTCCAGAGAAGACTCACTTGGCTTCAGTGGTTAAGAGGTCCAATTAGAGAAGGCTGTTTGTGTTCTTTAAGTTTGATTTTAATTTCTGCAGCCGCTGAAACTGGGAGTGCAGCAGCTCAGTGCCAGAGCACCACCTCTGTTGTACGAACACCCCACACTGATCCTCTGGGTTGTTATTAGTCTGTTTGAAAGTGAGGGAAAGTCTGACAGAAACTCTGATGAACATCAACCACCTGCCCAAACAAAACGTCTGATGGGACAGACTGCTTTGAGCAGTGGTTTAAATCATTTAATATAGGGTTCTGTGTGTGTTATTTGTTATAAATAAATAGTTCTTTGAGCAATCTCAGTTTAGGGATATAGAGTTTAAAAAAATAACGCAAAACAGGTGTGGTCATAGCGTGTGCTGTACAGCAAAAGACAACACTCCACACAYCAACAGATTTCACTCACCAACATTCAGATGTCAGAMGGGAAATCTTGCGAGACCTCTCGAGATCAAACATGAGTTTAGAGTAAATRAACAGGAAGTATGAGGAAGAAGCAATGGTGATAGTCCACTGTTCCACAACCAGGAAGAAAACCACACTGCTCTTCCTGAGTCCGAGGTTTGACTATCCAACGGACCCTCCGCTTCAAGACCTCCGAATAGACCTTACCAGGGAGGCTCAGAAGTGTGATCCCCCTATAGTTGGAACACACTCTGCAGTCCCCCTTTTTGAATAAGTGGACCACCACCCCGGTCTGCCAATCCCAATCTAGGAGAGCTGCCCCTGATGTCCATGCAATATTGTAGAGTCGCATCAACCAACGCAACCCCACAACATCTAATCTCATCCACCTTGCGTCTTGCCACCGAGGAGCTTTTTAACCACCTCAGTGACCTCAGCACCAGAGATAGGTGAGCCCAACCAAGAGTCCCCAGGTTCTGCTTCCACAATGAAAGACGTGCTGGTGGGATTGAGAAGGTATTTGAAATATTCTGCCCACCGACCCACAACGTCCTGAGTTGAAGTCAGCAGTGCACCATCCCCACCATAAACAGTGTTGTTGATTAACCTTTTTCCACCCCTGAGATGCTGGATGGTGCAGAATCCTCTTGAAGCTGTACGGAAGTCTTTTTCCATGGTCTCTCCGAACTCCTCCCATGCCTGAGTTTTTGCCTCAGTGACCACCTGAGCAGCAACCCAGGGTGTCAGACGACTTCCTCCGGTTCTAACTTTTAGCATGACATCCTTACATAAAATAAAGAATGTCAAAAGGCTTTTAAGGAATTTCAAGGATGACTTTTAAGGGGGTATAGTTAACCAAATTTTCTAATTACTGGTAAGTAAAGAAGTATTTGTACTTCATTGCTTGACACCTCTGATTTTGGATTCCCCTCTGTGTTTCTGTCACCTCACTTTCTGATTGGCTACACATCACATTCAACAGGCTGCAGCTCTGTCCCTGAGGGACACCACATGCTGGGAAATCCCCTAAGAGCCATCATGATAATCGGGGCATTCTAAAATTTGTTAGAAAGGCAAAATTATCTTGCCGTGTGAACCAGGCATTATTTAATTCAGATTGAGCCAGTTTTGCATTATGTGGTTTTTTACATGAAATTATTTGGTTTGGCGAGCACAAATAACATAGCAGCTAGCCACAACACGTCCGTTTGCAACATTCTTCTTGATTCGTTGTTTGTTTCCATGTAATGCCGCTGATCACAGAAACAATCCCTTTACATTCTGAGCAATTGCGCAATACATTCTTAATTTGAAGCCACAAGTTTAACTTCGTCTGGGTGTAATCACAACCAACAAACAGCACAACAAACACAGGAGCGGAGGACAACTCATATAGGAACAGCTTTACCCACACGTGAAAACCCAAACAATTTAACAAAAATGAAAAACTAGCAGTCAGTTCATCGATCTGTTCACAATTATTTCTATTTCCACAAATGCCTCAGCTATCGTTTGTTCCTAACCCTTCCACAAAGCCCACTTCAAAACATCAGAACTAAATCTTTAACTCTAGTCCTTTTTTCCTCCATCTACGCAGATCGTAACTGTGACACACTTGAACCAGGATCGAAGGCAAAAAATCTGATTCAGGCGAGAGTGACGGAAGATAACACGAAGGAGGCGGGCAGGACCTAATATAAATGATTCTCACTCGTACCATAGCCTCAGGATTCTACATCAGGCTTAACTAATGTGCAATTAAGCTGAAGACTGGAAGAAAATCACCTTGTAAAAACATTTGTCAAGTGAACTGTTTTTCTGTTCCGGGCTGCTAATTAACAAGGGAATGTGAAGAGGGGGGTTTGTTTGCGTGTTTATTTACATATACATGAAGAAAATAAATATCCGCACTGTTAGGGGAGAGCATTACTAAATCCCATTCATATGTCTCTATTAGACAGCCCTGACATGTAGTCCCTATCATTAAGCAATAATAGTTTACTTTACAGCTCATGAACTACAGTATCAACAAATTAAGCCCAGTGATAATGCAGAGTGCCAAGTGAAGCATAGGGGTGTGTGTGTGGGGGGGGGGGTGCGGAGATGGATATGAGGCAGAGAAGAGGAAGGGCGGAGGGAGAATGCAAGGCTTTATTGTGTCTGTCACATTAAACGATATTGCAACCACACTCGGAGTAATGAAGACCACTTCTAAAGTCATTTAAAAGTCAAATCATCGCCATCCGTGAATTTCAATGATGTGTAATAGAAAGAGCACGCCAGAGGCTCGAGCGGATGTCGAGAGCGAGAAAGAGGACAGAGTGAGGCCAATGGGTGTCAGGAGTCAGGAAGTTGCTGTCCTCTCCGCAGACATAAAGGTGATAGATGAAACTACAAGGCTGAAACTGCTGCATGACTCAGGGGAGAGGCGGGTGTGAATGCAGGATGGTACTCTGTGTGGAGTGTTTTAGCAGGATCTGACATGCTTTATAAGGTGTATATATATATAGCGTATCTGAGACTGTGTGTGTATGTGTATGTGTGTGTGTGTGTTGTACGGCAGGTCCATGAGTCCGACGCAGTGGACATGAAAGTGGAGGACACCCAGGTGTGGGTTCCTGTCGAGGAGCCCATCGTTAACCCAGACTTCCTGCTTGACTCCAAAATCTGGGAGATTTGCCAGCAGCTGCCTATCCACTGGATCCATCCCTCCCCCACGACTGGTGAGAGCAGGGGGCAACTCTGCCTCTAAATGCAGACTATTAAGACTGTTGCTGAAGGGCATCCCTACAGGCTGAATGCAGGCCCGCAGAGACGGCATGATTTACCAACCGTATGAGCAGCCGGCCTGGGCTGCTCTCTGTGAGTCAGGAAGGTTTAGAAACCGAAGGACTGTGGAGGAAAGAAAATTCAAACCTTTTTACAAAAAATAAAATCACCACAGYGAAAAATTAAAACACGTAAAAGTTCATTTAAGGATACAGGAGTGTTATCAGTGCTTTAGTACAATTCATTTCTTTGTCAGATATTTTTGTAAACAAGCAGAAAAACTCGCTAAATGAACTTGTTTTTACCTTCAGTGTGGATTCTTTGACAGTTAGGTCCTAAAAGCTAGTGTGCAATTTAATCTTTTTGCAGTAAAGTCATTGCTAAACTGGTTTATGCTATATCAAATCTTTAACTAATTCACAAAATATTAAAATTTTAAACCTGCCTTTCATGCCAGAACTATAAAACCCCTCAAATGGCTTTGCTTTGTGAGCCTGTAACCCTACTCCCTCACAACCATAACAAAAACTGAGAGATTATAGCAACAAATGTGAAAAAAGCTACAAAATGCTRCAAATTACAATAAACCTTTGTTTTTAATAGAATATGGTCTTTACAAAAAATATTCAACAAAGATTATACAGATGCTTTTGTTATTGTTGACATCAGTTACCTCAACAAGATCTAACAAAGACTAATTTCTTGAAAATTATTGAATAATTCTGTTAATTATCTTTTAAAACTAGCCTTTTGTTTGCTTCAAATGAGACGCATCAACTCATTATCACAAGAAAAAAGATTTTCTTGAGATGACTGGCTAGTGCAATTACAATCCTGTTTAAATGCAGCTGTGAATAAAAAAACAAACAACTACTGTAAAACAATATGACACAGAGCAAGAAAAAGCTTGTAATTTGTTGTTTTCCATTCAAATTCACAGAGCTCAGTTCTGAGTTGCAGCTCATTATGTTGCTGTCTGACCTGTAATTATTTGGTTTTGCTTCACTCTCTTTCCCAGAATCTAAAAAGTCACACAATCAAGTCAGCATGAAACAAGAAGTAGATGCAGTTAACAAGCAAACACAAGATTTCTGTTACTGACGTTTTTGGTTTGTTAAAATTATTTGTAAAAAGAAAAATACCCTGCTACATTCACCAATTGATAAAACAGAAATGTGTTTGTCTTTTTATTTTAGTTTGTAGGTAATATTTGCTGAAAGGTTAGAAATATTGCCTTAAAAGACAATGTTCGTTTACTGAAGTAAAGAATTATTGTCACTGATTTGATCACAACAGAGTGGCAGATTTTTGACTCAACATTAAAAATGTTTTAAATTTCAATGTTCTCTGGCTAACTGAAAGATTGTTGAAATGTGTGCACCATTTAGTGTGTCCAAAACGCAATCTGATCACCATGATATAGARCTTATGAATGAAAACAAAGGAACACATCGTTTGTAAGCAAAGTGTATGACGCTCTTGTGCATGTAAAGAAATCTTGTATCTTCACTTTTTTTTCTCCTGTTACTTCCAACAAAATGAGATTTGTGCATGGAGCTAAAGTGGGGCCATAAATTTCCTTTCAAGTAATATTTTTTGAAACAGAACAAAAAGATTGGAAACTGATGATAAAAAAAACATTGAAACAACTGTAGTATGCCATTGTATCATACAATCAAAAAATACAGCAGACCGTGTCATAATCAACAAGGTATGGCAAGGCTGTTGTGTTGTTTATTAAAGTATGGGAGGCTGTTGTATTATATAATAAAAATATAGCAGGTTGTTGTATTGAATAATAAAAAGTATATCAGGCCGTTGTATTATTTTACAGGTCTCTCTTGTAAATGAGACAATGAGTCTCAAGAGATTTTCCTGTATAAATAAAGGATAAATTAAAAATTAAAATTATATATTAACAAGGTATCAGAGGCTGTTGTATAATAAAAACATAGTTGTATTGTATATTAATGCTGTATGGCAGGCTGTTGTGTCATATAAGTTAGAAATGTGGTAGGTCATTGTATCATATATAACAATGTCTTGTAACATATATTAATGAGTATGGCAGACCATTGTGTCATATAATTTAAAAAATACATGGCAAGTTGTTGTATCATATAATCAAGAAGTACGCTTTTTTAAGTTTCACATAATTTGTTTTCAGTTTCAAAAATTTTCTTTCATTTATACATATATATATATATAT